CAAGAGACCCGAGAACTAGAAAGGCGAGGATCACTGAGCCATTTATCTCTCTGCCCTTCAATTAACCCCACATGTGTTTATTGGCCAGGTTGGCACAGTAAACTAACTACCTCAGTGTCTTTTAAAACTATTTTGACAAAAAGTCAATATATGATCTTGAACACTTCTCTTATCCTAATGAGATGTTGTTGCATCTACCTAGTAGCCGGTCACTTCACCCATTCCTCACTCAGTTTGCCATTGGTGTTTGCTGGGTGTGTGTCCCGCTGCAGTTAGAGGTGAATGTGATTGATGCAGTGTGTGAGTAATGACTCTCACTTTCTACTGAGTCCGATTTTCCATTGGAACAGAAATGAACTTTATCTTTTCCGATGTGGTATGAAATGTGATTAAAAAGAATAAAACCTGGCACAGATTAAGTGCCAGCTCTGTGCCAGGTAGGGTCCCTGGTGGCATAGAAGTTACACTTTGGGCTGCTAAATGAAAGGTTAGCAGTTTGAAACCACCAGCCGCTCCACAAGAGAAAGGAGGCTTTCTACTTCAGGAGACTCAGAAATCCACCGGTGCAGTTTCACCGCACGGGGCAGTTCTTTGGTCTCTCCAAGTCGGGATTGACATGAAGGCCATGCGGTTTTTTGAGTATGTGCCAGTTACTTTACTTTTAAAATGTGAACTTTCTATTGTGACTTGGGTGAAGGTTGACGGAGCAACAATTCACGTACCTTTTGTCTCATTTCATTTACTGCAGTCCTCTTGGAGTGCCACCCCAGTACCCCCTTCCTCCCTTTGTTTCCATTCCACCTTCTTTCCTAATCCGTCTGAACTTTGTCCTGGAGTAAATACTGTCATTTTTATCCTAAATGCCTCGTTAGACTAAGGTGTGCACCCTCACTAAGGCTCCTGTGCCCCTTCAAGGTCAGGCTATGTTTTGGATGACCTTTGAGCCACCCACAGGGTGAGTTTAAGTGACTGAGAGTCGTAGTGACTGAGAGTCATAGTTTAAGGATTTCATCGTCTCTAATTGACCAGTAAACTTGGGCTCTTTTATTAATTCGGGTTTTGCTTCACATTTTTCTTCGACTCCATGCAGGACCGTCTAATGTGATCCCTTTTCGAACTGTGGATAATGGTAACCCTGCACCACCTCGTCCTTCCGTTCTAGGGATTGTGGAGACTGAGGGCTCTGTGATCCGTTACTCCATTGGACTCAGTTTCTCCCTTGACTTTCGATTCCATCACTGTGACCTCCTCACTCCCTTCCTCTGTCATCACCCCCATTCCGTTCTTGAATCTCATGTAATGCTTGTCATTCTTTTCATTATCATTCTCCCCCTTCTCTCTCTCTCCCTTTTTAAATAAATCCTTCTATTGGAGACTCTTACAGCTCTTGTAACAATCCATACATCCATTATATCAAGCACATCTGTACATATGTTGTCATCATCATTTTCAAAACATTTTTTTTCTACTTGAGCCCTTGGAATCAGCTCTTCTTTTTCCCCTCCCTCCTCCCACCTCCCCACCCTCGTGAACCCTTCATAAATTATAAATTATTATTGTTTTCATATCTTACACCATCCGCTGTCTCGCTTCACCCACGTTTCTGGTGTTCGTCCCTCTCTGGAGGCAGGGGGGTGTTATTATGCGTTGATCATTGTGATTGGCTCTCCCTCCCCTCCCTGCCCTTTCCCCTCTTGGTTACACTACTTCCCTTACTGTTCCTGAGGGGTTTATCTGCCAAAGACAAGACATTTTGTCAGAATGTTTATCCTAAGGGCAGGATGGTTATTGTCATGGATATGAATACCTTAGGATATCATTTAAAACTTGAAGCAAATATACATCAATTCACCTAACCAGTCCCCTCTAATTCCATGCTAATCACTCTACCAAACAACCAAATGAATTCCAATATAGGGCTGCCCACAGTCAGTTGTGTGTTTAGGTGCCAGCGAGTCTGTTCTGACCAATCATGACCCTGTACGGAACAGACCACTGCACAGTCCTGCGCCATGTTCACAATTGTTCCTGTGCGTGAGCCCAACGTTGCAGCCATTGTGTCCATCCTTCTCATTAAGGACCTCCCTCTTCTTCACTGCCTCTCCACTGTAGGAAACACGAAGTTCTTCTCCAGGGTCTGGTCTCAACTGACAACATGTCCAGAGTATGGAAGACGACATCTTGGCACCCTTGCTCCCAAGGGGCCCTCTGGCTGGCCTTCTCCCAAGATAAATTCATTTCAATATTCTTCTCCAGCACCCCAAGACAAACGCATCCATTCCTCCTGGGTGTTCTATATTCTATGTCCAATTTTCACTGGCCTGTGAGGCGATTAAAAATACGGTGACTTGGATCAGGACAACTAGTCCTCAAAGGCACTTCCTTGGCCTGTCAACAATCTGAAGGGGTTGGGTGCGCAGACTTACCCCTCAGGGAGCGTCTTTTGACATCTCTTGACAGCTGCTTCCGTGAACATTGATTTTTGGATCGAAGCAAAACAAAATCCTGGGCAACTTTAACCTTATCTCTATTTATCATGATGCTTCCTCATGATTCCATTGTGAGGATTCTGGTCTCCTTGACATTGAGTTGTAATCCATACTGAGGGCTGTGATCCTTGATCTTCATGCGCAAGGGCTTCCAGCCTCCTCACTCTCAGCAAGCAAGCTTGTGTCATGTGCACATCACAAGTTGTCTTCCTCCCATCTGGTACCACATTTTCCGTCATCGAGTCCAGCTCCTCTGGTGATCTGCTCAGCATACAGACCGGCTGAGTATGGTGCGAGCAGACAACCCTGACTCACAACTTTTCTGATTTTAGACTATGTAATATTCCCTCGTTCTCTTTGTGCAGCTGCCTCTTGATCCATGTGCAAATTCTGCCTGAGCACAATCAAGTGTTCTGGAGTGACCCTTCTCAAGGCGATCCATAGTTTATTATGGTCCACACAACCTTTGCATGGTCAGTAACCATCGTTCTGGTGGCTCCCGTTCTCTTAAGAAAGATGTCGAGGTGAGTCATTTGGCTTAGGAAACACGGGAAGACGTAGAAGAAGTAGGAGTAGATCCTCAGGCTTCACCTCAACGTTAGTCCACGACACTGTGTTATGCTGCTTCATTTTAGTAAGTCAGTCCCACTCACACGATTATTTAAAATGGAAAATTTGAGGTGGATTTGAGTTTTCATAACTGGGGTTTGAGTCATATTTGATGGATGTTTGTCCTGCTTCTTACTTTAGTGTTTAATACCCTGGTGGCAAAAGAGCCACAGTATCACAAGAGGTTACAAGTTGAGCTGTAACCTCGACGTCAGCAGTTCAAAGGACAAGCTCCTACAAAAGAGAAAGATGGGGTTTCCCAACCTCCTCAGGGTTGATCGGCTTGGTCACTGAAAGTCAGAATCAACTTAATGGCAGTTGGTTTGGTTTGGGGAGGTTTCTAGGGAGGTGGAACTCTATGTAAGTGTCTGCATGAATTACTCCTCATGAAACAGCAATATGTTGGCATGTTGGCAGTCCTCCCCCTCCTCCTCCTCCTGTTCTCTCTAGCCTCCTCCTTCTCCTCCCCGTTCTTAATTCTTCCAGAGAAGTCACACAACCCAGTTTTCCAAGATATTCCTGGTTTACACTTGGGGTTCAAGTATAATTATACATGCTCACCACAATAGGTGACCTGGTGGTGTAGTGGGTATGAGGTGGGCTTCTATCCGCATAGTAGGCAGTTCAAAACCACCAGAAGCTCTTCGGGAGAAAGATTGGGCTATCTAGTAAACAGTTACCGTATTAGAAATCCCCAGGGGACCACTGCAAGGAGTCAGTGTTTGACTTGACAAGAGTGAGTTTTCCGTTTCATCCTGCATTTTTATAGATCCTAAGGATGTACACGTTGTGCTTGACCACTAGATGTCAGCAGTGCAACCCCTGGAGAACAGTCAGGGAAAGCATTTTATTACAGAAGTCAAATCAGAGCAAATAATTGTGGTTCAGTAGCTACCTGCTGCCTTGGCCATTCAAAACAAGGGCGACGGCAGGGGGAGGAGAGAAGCAGCAGGTGCCGCACAGGTAGCTCTTTCCTGGGTTCTGGCAGAAAGGGAAAGCGTCCTCTCCTCACTAGAAAGACTCCGAGCAGAGTTGGAATGAGCAATCAGTTGTCATTTTTTATTTTTCACTCACGAGATGAGATCAGTGTGCAATAACGCTAGGAATCGTCATTGAACGAAGACATATTTTCGATTTCCAATCCTGTAGAGCTTGGCTGTCTTGCCTTGTCTTTGAGTTAGAAGCTGAATTACTTGAACACAAATGCTTTGAAGATTCGAAGATATCAACACTCAGGGTTCAAGGACATGCTGGGATTCTTAGAATGATTCACGGACTGCACGTGCTTCTAGAAGTCTCCCCTCTCTGGGTGTGTGGCACACCTTGGCGCACACGAGTACAGGTAGGGAGCAGAAGCTCACACCATGTCTTTTCATGTCTTCGTGGCTTTCCACCCTCGGAATTATTTGCTTTTGCTCATTGCACTCCAATGTTCGGATGCATCTTCTGGCTTGAAGCCCCCAAGTGTCACCGCCCAGCCTGGGAACAGCAACCCTCATGCGCGCTTGGCTGCTGCCAGCTCAGAGCCAGAGGAGAGGATCTCTGTCTTTTCCCTGGATTATGACTATGTGCAAATTCCTTATGAGGTCACCCTCTGGATACTTCTAGCATCCCTTGCAAAAATAGGTAAGTCCTCACACACCTGGTTCTGGGATTTTTACCTAATAGTTAATGCCTGATAAATGGTAGTTTGAACTATTACTGCTTTTGCATAATAATTCTGTTGGGTCAAAGGCATTGCTTTTTATGAAACCGTTTAATGCTTTGGGGTTGTGCTTGAAAATGTAAGAGCATACTTTTGGATCCAGTTTTATCTCAGTTCTTTTCTAATTTTAGAGCGTCAACCATCGGGTATTGTTCTGCAGGTAAAAATTCTTCAATTCGATGGCTTAAACAATACAAAGAGCAAAGCAGGTAGCCCTCAGAATGTTGCAGGTTGGAACTTTCAGGAGCTGCCTAATGACGCTTCTGTCAAACACACTTCTTTGATTCTTGGCCCTGAGAGCATGGACTTCCTCAATGGGCCCCTTTGTTTACTCTTCAGAAGTGGCGGATGATCCATGCAAATGGAGAGAAAGGAAGAGCCAGGGCACCACCGGCTACATTCACATCACTGGGTGGTAGGCTGTGGCGCATGTGAGAGAGTATGGATCCCTCAAATATTCGTTCACAGCTGAGCCAAATGGAGAGTCAGTGGGGGCACCTGTGGTTTCTTTTGCAAAATAAAGAGAATTTGAGTTACTGGATTCAGTTTGAATCAAGTGTTCTTTGTCCTAATAAACTAAAGGAGTGGTTTACACTCTGTGACTGTTTATCTCGAATTTCATGTCCTTCCCTTCTTAAAATCAGCTTATCCTAAAGGTGGAAAATTGATACAGTTATCTCAGTTATTAAATTCTCCTTTGACTCACTTATAAGCTTTATTGAGTTTGAGAAAGTTTATTGTACCTTTGGAACCATGGGGGCTTTGTGGGCTAAGTCTTGGGCTAGTAACTTCAAGGACATTGGTTTGAGATCAGCTGCCACTCCCCAGGAGAAAGATGAGGCTTCTGAAAAGATGTCCAGCCTTGGAAACTCTCAGGAAGCGTTCTATAAAAACAAAAACAAAACCCACTGCCATGAGGTTCTGCCCGACAGGGCAGGGTAGACTTGCCCCAGGAATTCCCTAAACTAACTGTGAATGCGAGTAGAAAGGCCAGCCTTTCTCCCTCCGAGGGCTGTGGCATGTGTTGGAATCAACTCAGTGGCAGTGGATTTGAGTGTTGCTATTGAGATAGAATCTAGATAAAACATTCCAATGTTCATTCACTTTTTTTTCCCTCTAGGATGAATGTGAAATATAGGTTGAGTGATGAACCTTTGGCCGTTAGTTTTTTGGTATCAGGATTATGGATTTTGTCTATTTTTTTTACCGCCTTTTCCAAGGATCTGAGGGATCCTGTTATGTTCGTTAGCTGCTTCTTTCTAAGTGTTACTCACTTTGACTCAGTCAACTCTGAAAACGGAATGGAGTTTGTTTGTCTTCAGATCTCTGGACGAATGTAAGGTGATGTAATGGTCCTGAAACCATTACACAGGCTAACATGATTTTTAAGAAGTAGTCAAATAAATTTAGCCTTCCAAATGGATATTATTTTCAGTTCAGACCTCACAGTGGCATGCCTTAAATGAGACTGAGAGCAACCTAGGTAATTTTCCTTACAAACATGCTAGAGAGTCTAGCCTTCCCATCTCCTACCCCTTTCCTCTTTGTGGAAATGTGTAAACTGGCATGGGAATCAGGAAATCACATCTGTCATTTGCTAGCTAAGCACATTGTCTTTATAAATCTCAGTTTGCTCTTCTGTGAAGTGATTCTAAGGCCTCTTTTCAGTCTAAAGTATTGCACACGTGAGGAGAATATTTGATCAAAAAAAATCTGGTATAAACTATCAGGAAACATCTCAATGCAGAAAAGGTGAATTTCATCTTGACTTTTCTATTAGTATACAATAAAGTTTCTCGCCTAGAGGTGCTGTGTGTGCCCAGTCACTATGCGGACTAGGAGTGAGAAGCATTGTAAGGACACAGTTATTTCTTTCACTCACTGCTATCAAATTGATGCTGATCCATAGTGACCTTATGGGCAGGTACAAGTCCTCCTTTGGGTTTTCAAAACTGTCAGTCTGGCCTGGCATAGAGAGCGGAACTACTGGTGGGTTCACACTGCTGACCTGTGCTTTGCAGTTCAGTGCATGGTTCACCAGGCCACCAGGGTCCCTCAATTCTCCATAGACCTGTTGACCGGCAGGTTCTTGAAGCCCTGGTGAGGCGGTGGGATACGCACTGGGTTGCTAACGGCAAGGTCAGCGGTTCTGAGGCACAAGCTGCTTTTTGGGAGAAAGACGGGACTGCCTAGCCCCAGAATGATTTAGTCTTGGGAGCCCAAAGGAGCTGTTGTCTCTGTCCTGTAGGGTTACTATGAGTCAGAATCAGCTTGCTAGTAGTGTGTTCAGTTATGCTTTGTGTACATGTTTATACAATTCAACACATTTTTTTGAAATGAAAATAAATAATTTAAACGAGATAACAGTCACACTCACTCACCACCATTCAGTCGACAGGGCAGGGTAGAACTGCCCCTGTGAGTTTCCAAGGCTGTAACTCTTTATGAGAATAGAAAGCCTCCTCTTTCTCCTTCAAAATAGCAGTAGAATTTTTTTTACTTAAGGGTAATTTCATATCTGTTAATACTCAAGAATTTGGCTTATTTTTCTCCTACACACAGACATAGGGGTAAGAAAAGGAGCCCATATTCATTAAATACATAGCTAAATACCAGGTACTAGCTAATAGTTATATATATAGCATTTCCTTTCCCAGGGCTGAAAAAAAAAGACCTATTAAACTTTAATACTAAGCAACTCATATGTTTGGTCTTCCAAATTCTGTGTTAAAAGACCTGAATCAGGATATAATTAGTAGTCACAATTATTGTCATTCATTATTTTATTCATTCATCCTATCAAGAAATATTTACTGAACTCTGGTACATTATGTAAGGAAAGGTAAGGACCAGAGTAACCCCAGGTCCAGAATCTAATCATGAAGACAGGTAACCAAGTATGGCTGGTAGGTAATCTGACAAGAGAACATTAAAGCTATTTGTACATATTTTTAAAATATTCATTTATTCATGTTGTAAAACAAAAGTGTCATTAAACCAAGATAATACAAATCATGTATGACTTTTCACAATTTATTCTTTTTTAGTTCAAATTCTTAAAATATTCTAGAATATTCTTTAAATCATTTGACAGTCCGTTCTTATTATTTCATCTTTTGAGAAAGGCATTTATTTTAAATTGGTGGCCATTTATGTTTCAGATGTTGAAATTGTAAAATCTCAGTAACTGACTCTAGCATGACAAGGGAGAGATTTTAAAACTATAACATAGATGATGTATAGCCTTTGTTTTTCTAGTCTCATACATTATCCTACCTCATATGATGTGCCCATTGAGTTCCTTTTATGATGCCCAATTTATGGGCGTGTAGCTCCTTCCTGCAATTGCTGGTGTTGGTAGAGCTGGGATTATGGCAGGTGGGCAGGTGTGTGTCAAAACCATTCCAGTAAACTGGATTCCTGCAAATAGGAGCAACATGGGGAGTCAAGGAGGCTGAGAAAAACCATCCTATGGGCTCTTCCATCTTGAGGGAAATGAAACTGTTTAAAATAAGCATTAGGAGCAAAACAAGAAATCCTCAGGAAATGCAGAGTCCAAAACTTCAGAAGAACTCCTGAGTCCAGGGAAAGACGTTCTCTCCAGAGCGCAGATGCCTTACATTAACCTTGATGCCATGGGACAGTGGTGTCCATGAGAAGAGTCTCTCTTGGTAATAATTGCATTCCATTGCATTATCTAGCGTTGAAAGGCGAATGGAGAAGTTCAAGCAGAGGACAGGAATGTCCAGACTCTGGATGACAGAATTTAAGACTTCCTAAAGAGAAATCCAATAGCTCCCCATGTGCTGTATCAGGAAGACCACCCCCCTGAGCCTGGAATTGGCTATTTGTGACTCAAAGGCACCTGCTGTGGTGCTGACCCTTTGAGCTGCTAACTGTAAAGCCACACATGGAAACCACCAGCTGCTCCAGGGGGAAGTGGGGTTTTCTACTCCTGCAAATAATGACTTTCTTGGAAACTCACAGCGTCCCTCCCACCCTGCCTGACAGGCTCACTGTGAGCGGGCATCCACTGGACGGCAAGGAGTGTGGTTTCCTGTCCATTCTCTAGTTCCATAGCATTCATCCGTTCTTCTCCCACTACTCCTCCCAATTCAAAACTGGCCAAAAGAAGAGCAAAAGAATTTCAAAAGTGCTGGGTGAATTACTGTGGCATCTCTTTTTTTGCATTTGAAATTCTCCCCACATAAAATGTCTAGCATTTTGTTGTCCAAAACAGACAAACAAATTCATGCCATTGCACTGATGCTGGAGAAGAAAGTCTTATCTTTCTTCCACAGAGTGGAGGATGGTTTGGAACTGCTGACCTTATGGTTAGCAGCTAAATGCTTAACTCGTTGTGCCACCAGAGCTTCTCCATCTTGTTATACAACTATGTAAGTCCTTCTTCAACAGCCTGTTCAAAAAACAAACAAAAACTAAGCAACCTGTTCAACTTCTCCTTTCCATACTTCTCAGAGGAATATTAAATCATTCATTCATTCATTCATTTATACACCTAGAGATTCTTTCAGCAGATAGATCAACTAGTGTGGAAAGGGCAGCTTGATAAGGACTTAGGAGAGAACTAGAGGTGTGCATCATTGACTCTCAATTTCTATTGTTTCAATATTATGAGAGATAAATGATATTCACACAAGAGAACAGATAAGGCTTATTACTGTTTGACAGATACAGATAAAATATTACTACATGAAGGGCAAGGTATATTACTTCCTTGGGAGGAGTTTGGGAAAATCTAGAAGGCCTCCAAATATGAGCAGGACCAGAATCGGCAGAGGAAAAGGACAAAGCAGCCAGCAAGACTAGCATCCGACAAGATGAAGGGAATGCTGGGCAAAGAACGTTTGACTGGCTACAGTGTAGGGTGTGCAAAAGTCATGGAGCGTGTGAGATAAACTGGGAGAATGCCCTGTCATCGCCGTTCATCCTCCGAGCATTCCCCATACTTGTTGGAATAGTCCATGTTCTAGATTATTTTAGAATATTTAGAATATTCCATCTTTTGGGTTATTTAGTCCTGCTTCTTTGCTCAGGTCTCACTAAATGTTCATCAGAGCAGAAAACATCCTTGCAAGCATCATTGGTCTTCCACGTTGCATTGCTTAGCAGAGTGCATCGTTTGATCTTTGCACATGGTGCCTAACAAAGACCCTCACTTTAAAACCCTGGAGATGTTTTGCATGTCTTCAGAATGTTCGGTGGCAAATGAGACAGATACTCATGACAAGAGAAACCTGTCTGACAGCTGTGTTGGGATAGATTTGAGGACTGAGAGAGTGAAATTCGATATATGGAATATAACACAGTGCCAGCATATCTCAGAGATATTATGTTTGTCCTCAGACTACTACAATAAAGTGAATATCACAGTAAAATAAATCCATATATTTTTGTTACCTGGTGTATGTAAAAGTTATGTTTATGGTATAGTATAGCCTATCAGATATGTGTTATAAAAAAAACTTTGAAATATTACAAGGATTGCCAGAATCTGACACAAGAGATGAAGTGACCCACGATGCTATTCAGGGCCCTTCCTACAATAGAACCACACACTTGTTCGTGCGCCATCCTCACAAGTGTTGTTGGGCTGAGCTCATTGGTGCAGCCATTGAGCCAATTCTTCTCTTTGAAGGTCTTCCTCTTGGTGATAACTCCCTGTTTTGACAAGTCTGATGTCCTTTTCCAGCAGCTGAATCCCTTGGTAGGATAACCAAAGTACTAAAGATAAAGTTTCACCAGCCTTGACTCTTAGGAGCATTCTGACTGTACTTGATCCAAGATACATTTGTGGTTTTCTTCTAGCGGCCCATGGGCCTTTCCATATTCTTCGCCAGCATCCTAACTCAAATGCATCCGTTTCCCCATAGCTCTCCCTATTTCATTTCCTAACTTGCACATGCCTATGAGGTGAATGAAAAACCCATGGCTTGGGGCAGGAGTAAGTTAATCCCCAAAGTGAAACCGTTACTCTTCAGAACTTTAAAGAGGCATTTTGTAGTCGATTTGTCCAATGCAATATACCATTTGATTTCTTCCCTGACGTTTGCAAGAGCACTGATTGTGGAGCCCAGTAAAATGAAATCCTTGGCAACTTCAGTATGTTCTCCATTTATCATGATGTCTGTTGGCCCAGTTGTGAGTACTTTTGTATTTTGTGTGGGTTGTGATTCCTACTGAAGGCTGTCATCCTTGATTTTCATCAGCAAGTGATTAAGTTCTCTCTGTCAGCAGGCAAATCTGCATCATGCGCACGTAGCAGGTTGTTAGTAAGTCTTCCTCTGATCCTGATGCCTTGTTCTTCTTCATGCTAGTCAGCTTTGTAAATGATTGTTCTCAGCACCCAGATTGTATATGATTTTACACCATGCAGGATTTCTTGTTCTGCATGCATGATTATTTCTTCACGTACAGGTTCCACATGCATACAAGGAAGTGTTCTGGAATTCCCATTCTTCTCAATATTATTTAGAGTTTGTTATAAATTCCACAGATGAATGGTTTAGTGTAGTCAATAAAAACATGCAAACATCTTCCTGGGATTCTCGGTTTTCAGTCAAGAGCCACCTGACTCAGCAATGACCTCCTCTTCTAAGTCTGGATGACATTGCCGGTAGCTCCCTGGTGATGCACTGTTGAAACCATTTTTAAGTTATCTTCAGTTAAAATTTTACTTTCCTGTGATACCTTTGATTCTGTCCCATGGGTTCTGCATTCTGTTAGCTCATCTTTCTTTGGGATGGGCACAAATGTGGATCTCTTCCAGGTTCACCAGGGAGCTCTCATTCAATTTTTTGTCACAGATGGATGAGTGCTTCTAGAGCTTAATCACCTTGCTGAGCCCTTTCCATTGACATTCTGTCAAGTCCTGGAGCCTAGTTCGTTGCCAACGTCTTCAGTGCAGTTTGGATGTTTTCCTTCAGTACCACTGGCTCTTGATCCCATGCTCCCTCCTAAAATGGTTGGACTTCAATCAATGATTCTGGGTACAATGACTCTGTGTTTTCCTTCCATATGGTTTTTAGGCTTTCCGCATCATTCAATATTTTGCCCATAGAATCCTTCAATATTTCAACTTGAGGCTTTAATTTTCTCTTCAGTTCTTTCCGTTGGAATATGCTGAATATGATGTTCCTTTTGGACTTTGAATTCCAAATCTTTATCCATTTCATTACTCAACTTTGTCTTCTAAAGCTGCCCTTTGAAATTTTCTACTCAGTTATTTTACATTGTAATTTTTTCCATTTGCTTCAGCTACTATCTGTTCAAGAGTGAATTTCAGGGCTCTCTTGGCATCCATGCTGGTCTTCGCTTTCTTTCCTGTCTTTGGGGTGACTTTTTGCTTTCATCATTTAGGACGTTCTTTTTAAAAAGTAGATTTATGGATGTATAAGTCACATACCATACAATGAAATGGTTTCGATATATTAAAAAAGAGTTGTGCAATCGATTTAGAGCCTTTTCTTCATTTTTGTATTCATTGCTATGAGTTGCATTTCCTCCCAACCTTCCTTTCCATAACCCTAAGCCATTTATTCTAGTGACTGTTTCTGTAAATTTACCATCCTATATCTCTGATAAATAAAATCCTTGTGTTATGTTCTTGATATCATCCCATAGCTCATCTTGTCTGCTGTCATTAGTGCTCAGTGTGTCAAAACAGGAGCCCTAGTGGTATAGTTGGCAATGCTCTGCACTGCTAATGGCAGGGTCAATGGTTGGAATCTACCAGACAGTCTATGGGAGAAAGATGAGACTATCTACTCTCATGAAAATGTATGATCTTGATGAAAAACCCAAAGGTACAGTTTTACCCCTTCTATAGGTTCACTATAAATTCAAATCGGCTTAATTGGTTTGTTGTTTGGGATCAAATATATTTGGGGGATGTTCTCTAAATTCAGGAGGTATAGACTCAAGATCATAATCTGGCTCGTGGGAACTTGTTTAAATTTCCTTCACCTTCAACTTGTACTTTCATGGGAGCAATTGATGATCTGTCAGCCCTGGACCTTGTTTCGGCCACTGATGTTGAGCTTTTCTACTTGCTCTTACCACAGAGAAATCAGATTTGATTCTTATATTGTCCACCTGACGAAGTCCACATGTATAATCGCTGTTTATGTTGCCGGCAAGAGGACTTGCCAGAGTCAAGGCACCGGAGATGAGTGCTGGAAGTGAGCACGTGCTGTGGAGAAAACGGGGCGCACCGAGTGCTCAACACAGGGTTGCCACAAACGTTCCATTAAAAAAAAAAATCAGTATCTACAATATGCCAAACAGCGTAACATAGTAAAATGAAGTGCGCCTATAATCAGAAGAAGAAATGGGAAGGTGCTAAATAAAAGCATTAGTCAGAGAAATAGAGAAGCATGTAACTCATGAGGTAGAGAGCTGACGGAAGGAAGGAGATCACGGTGAAGGAAAGGATCCATGATAATGGGATATGATTTTCCTCCGGGGGTGCTGACCAAATGGCAATGTCATGGTTTAAGTAAAGAAAACAAAATAAAAGATCTCTTTATTATTATTACTACTATTGTTTTTTCGAGTGGGGAATGGGACTTGGAAAGGAAATTCATAACAAGGGGAATTTGGGGTGACTTTGCATGAAATAGAAGTGAGTTTACCTGGCTGCAGAAGAGTTTTTCCTCTCCTCTTTTTCCCTTATGTACCCTTCACATCCCGTTCAGAGGGAGAAAGTAGGCACAAAGGGAGAGAAGGATGACTGGCTAAGGAACAGTGCTCTAACTGCACTGCGCCCCATACGGAAGGTGCTTGATCCCATTTAAAGCCCATGCAACAATGGACCCAATCAGTACTTTCTGAGGCTCAGAAATGACAAAGATGAGACAAATGAAAGTACTTCCTATGCACACCCATCTCATTGATTAGTAGCTAGAACAGTTCTATTTGCAAACGCCTTCATTAACCTCTGCCCTTCCACAGGGTTTCATCTTTACCACAGACTGCCCCATCTCATGCCAGAAAGCTGCCTCCTCATCATTGTTGGAGTTTTGGTGGGCAGCATCATCTTTGGCACGGACCACAAATCACCTCCTGTCATGGATTCAAGCATCTATTTCCTGTATCTCCTTCCACCCATTGTTCTGGAGGGTGGTTACTTTATGCCCACCAGGCCCTTCTTTGAGAACTTTGGCTCCATCCTGTGGTGGGCTGGACTGGGCGCCCTGATCAATGCCTTTGGAATTGGCCTCTCCCTCTACCTCATCTGCCAGATCAAGGTTTTTGGCCTCAGTGATGTTAACTTGCTGCAAAACCTGCTTTTTGGTAGCCTGATCTCTGCTGTGGACCCCGTGGCTGTACTGGCTGTATTCGAGGAAGCACGTGTTAATGAGCCACTCTACATGATGATCTTCGGGGAGGCCCTTCTCAATGATGGGATTAGTGTGGTAAGATGCCAATGACAAATCCCCTAGAGGAGCTCAGGAGTCAGGAATATGGTTAAGGATAAGGGGCTGTCCTTGAAGCTAATGGGCAATGTCCAAGTTTGGCTGGGCTGTAGTGGGACATGGGCAGTTTCAATCAGTATTGTGTGTCCCAGCTCCTGGTAACTTTTCTTAGGACCTGCATTGTGTACAGAAATGCCCGCTAATGTAGCTGGTCACTTGCTAGCCAACTAGCTCCTTTAATGAAAGAAAAAGGACAAAGGAGATATAATTCTGTAGTTTGATCCAATTTTTCACTCAGCAAGCACAGCTGTTGCTAAAATACTTCTGAGTTTCCCCATTTTATTTATATGCATTGTTTTATTTAATGCATCTCATTAGAAAAAAGTTAAATAAAATACAATAATAGAGGGAGAGAAGACACAGCAAAACAGCTTGCTTCTATCAAACTCAATTACATGACTCACATAGAGAAAGTAAGTTAATTATTTTTCCCTTAAAATTTCTTCTGGAAAGGAAGCAAGAGTAGCTAACAGGCTACCTTAACTCATAGTCCTAGAATCTAAAAGAAGTGTGTAGGTTGTTGTTGCTTAAATATGAGGGGATACCCCTCCACTTCTCGCAAAACAAAACAACAACAACAAAACAAACAAGCTTCACTGGGCAGAGCTTAGTTGCACACATTCTTCCTAAAGGCGAGCATTGCTTTGAGTTAGTGCACCCAGTGGCATCACCCGGGAAGGTTCTCTTTGGTTACAGTGAATTTTTTCATAAAAGCACTTTCACTTGAACCTCATTTTTTTGTGATGGCCAATTTAAGAGAACAGCTTGCAGCTGTGAAATTTTATTTCCTCCTTGGGAAAAATGCCACAGCAACTTGTGATGTTGAGCAGAGCTTACAAGGAGAGGACTATGGGTAAACCTCAACTGTACAAGTGGTTTTCTCATTTCCCAAATGGTGAAACGTTGATTGATGATAAACCTCATTCTGGACCTCCATCAACTTCCCAAATGGACAAAACTGTTCACTCATAGTACATTTAGAGTTCGTTCTACCAGGTCAGATTGTTAATCAAGCTTTCTATTTATAGCTTCTAAAAATATAGCATAACAGTGTGTGACAAAAAAGGCTTGATTTGTGGCAGACAAGGGACTGGTTCTGCCACCACGACAATGCACCTGCTCATGCAGCCATTTTTTACCCTTAGTGTTGTTTAGTGAAAAAAAACCAAAAACATAGCTTTGAAAAAAATTCCATTTTGGGGGTGGGTGGGGATACCCCCTCGTATTCCGAATTAACTAGACAATTGCTCAGCTTCAACCTATTAATTTAAGCTTCTCATCGCATGGTACTTTATGAGGCTTTATACTGTTCTTATTTTAAATTTCTATCACATCAGTTAAATGATGCTAAAATACATTTTCACTGTAAAAGCATCACGCAAAGTAAAATGCTGCAGCATAAAACATAAAAACCTCTCCTTACCCACACCCTCTTCCATGGAGCTCCTCAAGAGGCAATCACCTTATCAGTTCAGTCTTTGCTCCCCAATCTTTATAGCTGACACCTGCATAAGGATATAGATTGCATTCTTCATTTCAGAAAGTTTGCATCTTGGAAAGCCCTGTGGAATCCAGGTCTCCTCTAATCCACCTGTGGTCACCATGAATCCAAATCTAGGGGACTACAACTGCTTTAGAGGTGTTTAGTGCATTTGATTTTGCATAAATGAAGGAGGATATTAATGTGTGCAGTGCGCGGACAGAACAAGTCTTGGAGTTCTTTCTGTGCCTTTTCAATGGCTGCATGATATTTCGTAGATTGGACTTGCTATAGTTTATTTAATCATCTCTTGATGGATATACATTAAGCTTGTTTTCAAATGTTCACTCTTCATGTTTCAATGAATATTCATGTTTCTGGGTATATTTCCTGTTGTCTGAATTTTTATTAGCTATAGTCTTCTAAGTAAAATTTTTGTGTTAAAATCATTTTCATGTAAAATGTTAAAAGAGCTTGCTAAGGTTTTGCAGAACATTTAAAAAAATTGAATCACATTCACATTAACAGTGTATGGAATATGTTTCCTTGAGTCCTTGCCCATGCTAGAGAGTTTTCTTTTTATAAAAAATCATTTTATTGGGGGCTCATACAGCTCTTATCACAATCCATACATACATACATTGTGTCAAGCACATGTATACATTTGTTGCCATCATCATTTTCAAAACATTTTCTTTCTACTTCAGCCCTTGGTATCAGCTACTCAGGTTTTCCCCCCCGTCCCTCCACTACCCTCCCTCCCTCATGAACCCTTGATAATTTATAATTTTTTTTCATGTCTTACACTGACCGATGTCTCCCTTCACCCACTTTTCTGTTGTCTGTCCCCTGGGAAGGGGGTTATATGCAGATCATTGTGATTGGTTCCCCCTACCCTCCTGGTATCATTACTCTCATTGGTCCTGAGGGTTCTATACGTCCTGGATTCCCTGTGTTTCCAGCTCTTATCTGTATGCTTGTACATGCTCTGGTCTAGCCGGATTTGTAAGGTAGAATTGGGATCAGGATAGTGTGTGTAGTGGGGGAAGCATTAAAGAACTAGAGGAAAGTTGTATGTTTCATTGGTGCTATACTAAACCCTAACTGGCTTGCTAACTAGTTTTCTTAATGTTTCCAAATCTAATAAGCAAAAATATTATTTCTCATCTAGGTTTTAATTCACTCACTCTCGCTGACATTGGGTTGATTCTGACTCACAGCGATACTATAGAATAGAGTAGAACTGCCTCTGTGGGTTTCAGAGACTGTAACTTTTTATGGGAGTAGAAGGCTTCATCTTTTAGGACCATTGGTGGCCTGGTGGCTATGCAGTAGGCTGCTAACTGTAAGGGCAGTGGTGCCATGCCACCAACTGCTGCACAGGAGAAAGCTTTGTTTGCCCAGCAAGAGTTATTGTCTCCGGAACCCACAGAGGCAGCTCTACACTGTCCCACAGAATCGCTATGAGTCAGAATCGACTCAGTGGCAGTAGTTTGTGGTTCAATCTGCATAATGATACTAAAGCATTTCTCAATTATTGATGCTTCTTAATATCTCTCCTGGTTCATATATTCAGGGATATGATAGATCCCTGATACATATTCGGGGAAGTTCATATATTTTGGGATGCCAGAATTTAAAAATATATAATATATATTTATATCCCAATTTTAAATTTTAGCTAAATGATGAACAGCTTTTAGTTGAAGTTTGTCACAATTGCAGGCACATATTGAGATTTGCACACAAATTGAGTTATAGGAACGCATTAAATTATCTGAATTTTAACTGAATGATACATACAAGTCAAATGCTTCTTCCTGTTCCATTGCTGATTTTTTTGTAATGGAGTCTCTTATCCTATGACATTCATAAAAAATTATGCTTGGGGAGATGGCACCTGACCATATAGAATAAGCGACCATTCCATTTTGTGGTTTTCCTGCTTTTATATTTCATGATTTAATTCACCTCTGCAATATTTTCATTCTAAGTGCTTTACGCCAAAATATATAGTACAAGGTTAAAAACAATCTTTTAAAAAATCATTACTGTCAGAGGCAGATTCAACAAGTGCAGTGGGTCCATACACTCAAGGGAGAAGGAGACTAATTAATTTATAGGGAGAATTCCCACTGCAGATACAAGAGGCTAGGACCCTCAGGCCTGGGCATGCTTTCCTTTTAGGCCAGTTCCATAAATGCTAAATTGTCAGACAGTTGATTGCAGGCAAACACAGGAATGCAATGTTTACTTTCTCAGAGTGCGGGTTTCACGCTTGGACTTCAAAATCACCCTGTGGACTTGAGGAGTATTTAGAGGCCCAAGCCCCCATGCAGACTGATTGTCTCAGAATCTTAGAGAGTGGGACCTTGGAATTAGTGTTTTTAGCAAGTATCTCAGAAGGTAGATGAAGTGTGAGAATTACTGGTTTATTGTTTTTAGGGGGCAAGAGTGCAGTGGGTCTTGATTTAATGTAGTGGTCTACTTAAAACCAGAATCCTCACATCCTTCTCAAGATTGGCCTAATTTAGTCCCTGGGATCTTTCATTGTCATACTTCTGGTACTGAGAAGCTCCTCCTTCGATTCAAAGATCTCTGGGTTGCTATAAATAAGTGAATGTGCTTGGCTGCTAACAAAAGGTCGAAGGTCTGAACCAATTCAGAAGCATGTCAGTCTACTCTGAAAAATTGACTGCTGAAAACAGCCTACAAGGAAATCCATCCTTTCAAGGAAGCCCCCATTTGTCACCAGGCTTTGGAAAGGAAGGCCCTGGTCATCCCAGCATCTCAGCAAGTAAGCCCCCAGCTAGCCCCCAGGTATCCCTGTGCGCCAGAAAGTTAAGCCCTGTCCATTTTCATGACCTTGTAAGGAAGGTTCTGTCATTCTCTCACCTTGACAAAGGCGCCCCTAGTCATCTCCATGGCATGGTAAGGAAGGCCCCAGGCATCATCATGTCCCAGCAGGGAAGGCCCCAGGCATCCCTTGTCCTGACAAAGAAGGCACTACCTGTTCTGTGCCTTGGAAAGGTAGACTCTCTCTGTCCCACAGCCCAACAAGGAAACCCTCAGGCATCCCCACAGCCAGACAAGAAAGCCTCTGGTAGTCCCCACACCTTGGGAAGGAACCCTCTAGCTACGTCCATGCCCCAGCCATGAAGCTCCTGTGCTTCCCCACAGCTCTGCTAGCAAGGCCCTGGCCATGCCCCAAAACCATCCAGGAAGTACCTGGCTGTCCCCTAAATCTGGAAAGGAAAGCCCTGGCTATTCCCAAGCCCCAGAAAAGAAGCCCCCACCGATTCCTCTACCCTGGCAAGGAAACCCCAGGCTGTCCCTGTGCACAAACAGGACAAAGCCAGCTATTCAGAAAAGACTCAGGAACCTTCTCAACACTATTGGTGCAGAAAGGCAGTCAGTCAAGGTCCAAACAAGAAAAACAGGCATACAAACACGTAACACC